TCTTCGCCNCAAAAATCAACAAAACAAAAGAAAACAAAACAGGACGCGAACTGAGAAAGAAAATTATATTCTACCTGAAGTCCAAAAATTGAGAACAAATATCACTGTGGCTTAAAGTTTTTTCCTCTTTTTACATTCTTTTTGAAGATTTCATAACTTGATATGCTTAAAAATAGATTATTAAAGTACCATTTTTAACAAGAATTTATTGTAGTGAAATTTCGTTACATGAATCATTGTAGAATAATAATAATCAAAACCAAAGATAATTAAAAAATACTTAAAGTCAACAGTAACAGGTATTAATTTTAAGTAAATCTAATGAGAAATATTTAAAGATTTATTTCGGTTTCTATTTTCATTTACTGTCTGGATTACTACAAAGTAGGACAAAAATTAATTTAGATGTAGACTACTGTTGAGAAATTTAGACTTATATAGAAAGTATTAAAATCTGTAGATCTATTACTAAAATGTCAGAAAGGTAATCTTCAGAGACTTTTTTGTAAACAATCTTTTTCTTTGTTTAATTATTATGTAAAATAAATAAAAAAAATTGTGATATGAAATTAAAGAAAAAAAATGTTTGCAGCAAATAAGTTTCTAATAGAAGAGCATGAATTTGATCTAATGTATTTTGGAATTTTTTATGTTTCTATTCTTATAATGTAGAAAACATCTAAATTTAAAAAAAATTAAATATTTACTATTTTTTAATATTACAATAGATTCTGAAATTTTATATAATGATGTTATTCTTCAAAACTCATAAAAAATTTTAAAATAAAATAATATTCATTATTTTTCAGCAATTAAAATAAATTAGTTGTAAACTATTTTCTATTTTTCTTTCTTATTTATTTATTTTTGAAAAATAAAACATTTTGTTTCTGGATAGAATTGTTTGTTCATCCACAAGTTCTAAAAAAAAGATTAAAGGTAGAAAAAATAAAATTTAAGACAAAAAATTCTTCTCAATATAAAAACTTTGATCACTAGGAATGAAAAGGAAAATATATATATTTTTTTTCTTTCGTAAAAACTTCTTAAACAGTAGTGTTTTACTAGTATGATCCAACAAATTGCTTNTAAAAATAGTAAATATAATATAATAAAAATTTTTATATAGAAAAAGTTATCTATAATAACATAATATCATTATTCATGTTCTAAGCATCGTCGTTAAAATGTTGCCCAAAGCAAAGAAAAGTACTGAAAGTGATAATGAACTCGCAAACCAAGACTCTTATCGTAACATGATAATATACCTTGAAAACAGATCCACTATTCCATTCCAACAAAGAAAAGTCAGAAATCATTAGAGAAACTATTTTTATTTAAATAGCAATGTAAAATGCAATGCACATTTATTCTATATTATAATTTCAACAATTTTTAAGATTTTTTTAACCTCGAAATTAAATTAGCTAAAATTAGAATAATTTTCAACATTTAAATTTTTCAGGATTCACTTCATTTTTTCGTCAGATGATTAATTCTTGTATAACAGAATATCACAATAAAACTTCTTTAGCGAGATGATTTCACCCAGTACACGAATTTCATTTCTCCATTAGAACTCTTTTCTGCTCTTAACATTTACTATACTCGTTAGATTTAATGTCTATAATTTTCCATAATTAAGCTTCCTTCATAAATTATATTAAAAAAAATAATGAAAATTTAGAGCTGAAAAATATTTCATAAAACTTCGAGATGCATACTGTTCGAGATAAGACATCAAAGATTTCATAAGTAAAATCATGTAAACTTCTGTCTCGTATAGTTGCAATAATTGTAAAAATATTAAATCATATCTCTCAGACTGGATACATTTTGCAGTTAAATTGAAGAATGTAGAATCACCATAATATTTAGGCTATTTATAAAATCATTTAAACTTCCAACAGTATAAAAATTACATAAAATAGAAACATATAAAAATAATCGATCATTAATGAAGTTTTTTGTAAAAATCTCTGAATCGAAACTTGAAATCATAAAAAAAATTAAAAATAATCATTTATTCTATTCAAGATAAATATGATTATTTTTAATATTTTATGATTTTCAAGTTTCGATTCAGAGATTTTTCTAATATTATCTAATACAATATATTATATAAATATTTCTACACAAACTTAATAATAATTGTTAAACAAATTATAAGAAAGCATTGTGACCCGCAGCAATCACATTTTTTTAAAACGGGACAAAAATCACTTAGGGCGAAGAAGAAAACGCAGTTAACATCAGTAATGAAAGAAGATGGAGGGGAAAAAACAGAATATTCGGAAGAAAGAAAAATTTCATTTTGGTTTACAGAAGCCAGAAAAACATCTTGTTTTTTGATGGAAGTCTTTGCAATAAAATTTCGGCCCTTTATTTTTTTCTTACTGTGCTCTGAGCAATGAATTAAAAGCAAGAAATATTACCCTAAAGGTTTTTTCTCAAATCTATATTTATTTTCAAAACAGTTGTATAGCTTAAATTTATACTTTAGTAAATATTATATTTGTTGCTGTGAGACATAGTGTAGATGGTGGTGTTTATAGTTAGAAGTGACTAATGTCAAAAATGTCAGAAAGATTAAAATGTTATATTATAAAAACTTATAGAAAAGTCATTTTTAGAGAAAAAAGTTTAAGAGTAATACATCTTAAATTTTTTAACTACGTATTCTATATATTTTTCTACTTTTGAAAGTAAAAATGTTGGTAAGATATAGATAAAATTAATCTATATTATATATATATATGGAATTTCATGAAGAGAGCCACAACATTTTAACAATAAAACAAATATTTACGTTAATAATTACATGAAAGGGCAATTTTAAACCAAGTTTAACTAATTGGTCCTTCGAAGTATAACATTATTCTAAAGTCCAACAGCAATCTAGGCTCAGAATGTCTCTTTTATTTCTGTATTTCTTCGTTTCTGTCCCTTTCCCTTCTTCCTTTTTTTCCTCTTGGACATGCCGCCCTTTGCCATTTTATTCTCTTCTAATAAGCTTGGCGTCTACTGATTGGTTGGTGTCTGCGTTTCATAAGCTAATTGACTAGTGATTGGTCTGACATTCCGTCTGCTGATTGGTACAGCTCTGCGTCCCATCAGCTGATCTTAATTTGATCGACTTTGGATTCCAAACAGACAATAAAAAAGAAAGGAACAAAAATAACAACAAAATTTTTAAAAAATTAAAACTAATTTTGGCCCCCATACATACATATGTAACTTATAACATATAAGTTTATATATATTTCATACAGATCTAAAAATAATCTGAAATAAAAAATAAAGATTACATTTTTATAGAATATTGATTTATACGAGAAATAAAACAGTTGAACGAACAAATTAAAAATTCATTAAAAAAAACACTAATTAAGGTCAAATTAAAAGCTTAAACGATAGAAAACTTGGCTTGTAAAATGAGAAAGTGAGTTTAATTAATACTTTATGTTCAAGTTAATAATCAACAAACATATATTAATGAACTGAGTAATAATGAAACAAACATAGCATAATGCTAATTAATATATATATAATAAATGTTAAATATGCAGTTTATAATTAGCTAATTTGGAAATATAAAACTTTACATGTAAATTAATACGATGTGTAAAGTTTATTATGCTTTACTAATAAAAGTCGAAGATTGATATACCTACCAATCAATCTTTTCTATCTTTCTTATTTATTTCGAATAAAAATCGAAAATTGCTATCAAATCAAAATTATCTTCGTTCATGCGTTTGATTTTCAATGTCGGATTTGGCTTCATCCCAATTTGTATCACGAAAGGTATAAATTGTGTGCAGCGATGGTTGAAAAATTGGTATTGACGAATCGAACTAAACTTCGATGCACATAAAACCTTTGCCCGTATTCGATATTCGTCAATTTAGTGATGTTCCACTAAAGTTGACTTTTTTTCTTCTATTTATAAAAACAAGAGATACAATTGCATGCAAGTTCATTATTTAAGGAATATTTTAAAGGAGCAATTTCTAGTTCTAAAATTCCCACTAAGTGAAGATGATGTTTATCTCTTCCAATTTTGCAGTTAGATTTCAAAAATAAAATTTAAAAAATGGCTTAATGCTAAAGAAAATGTTAATCAAAACTTTCAAAAGCATAAAAAAATTAATGCATAGATTATAATAAAATTTCATTTACAATAGAAAAAATTCAGTTCTATTGCAAAATTAACTTAAAAAATCAGAAATTGGTGACATAAATAACGAATAAATATTTTAGATACAGTAAAAATCTAATAAGCACATACAAATAATTCAATTATAACATAGAAATATTTAAAAAATTCAATTACCATATAATAGTAATATAAAAAACAATTTAATGAAAGGATCAGATTTAATAAAATATAAAAAGAAAAACATTAAGTTTTACCCTACAAAGTTAAATGAAAGAATTACACGTATTGTGTATATTATTTGAAAAATATATCTTTGTAGTTTTCTTCCTACCGAAGATAAAACAAATTTTTTTCTTATTTTTATCTTAGCAATAATATATTTTTTAAAAAATAAAACACTTCGCAGCGTATATTTCTAACCTACTTACATTATTATTCAGCTTTTTCAAACAGTTATTTAAATATTTAAACTTTATTCAGTAATTACTCATTTTCACAGATGAGATAACAAAGATTACCCTGCACAATATTGCTATAATAAATTCATTCATTAACAAACCTAATAAAAATAATTTTACAGGTTAAATGTTGAAGAGAAAATTACAATAAGCTTTCTAATAGCTGTTGTAGTTTTATATTTAGACCTTAAAATATATAATTCTGTTAAAAGCTTTGTTTTGAATGAATATAATTTATTTTTTGAAATTTAAACTTTGATGCTAAGCAAATCATTTGCATCAATACGATAAAAGCTTTCTGTAAATAAGTCTTGAAGAAAACCAGGTATTGTAAGTAATCAAATATAGACCTACAGATGTATTAATTATAATTTTCTTACCTCCAGTTAGTGTTAAAGTTGCAAATTTGTACTCTGCGTCAGTGGATCCAGCATCATTGTGAGCTGACATGAGTAACTCGTACCACGTTCCTGAATTGAGATCTGATATAGTTACAGAATGTTGTTCGGGAACGATATTGTTTGAAAGTAAGATCCATTCTTTCTGTTGCTGGGACTTGTATTGAACAACGAAGAACAATATAGGACAGCCACCATCATTCCAGGATGATAAACGAACCTGAAGAAACGTTGAATTCACTACAAGAAGGGATGATTTGTCTGGAGCTACAGGCTCTGTGCTTGGACGGAACAAAATATAGTCATCAGCTAACAATATATTTTAAGAAACATTAATTTTAGTAATTTAAAACTTTTCTCGCATATATTACTAATAAAGTATGCTCATAAAATTTAATAAATTAATATATTAAATCATAAAACGCTTAATTTAATAATTACTATATGCCTGGCACATTAAATTTGTGCTAAATTTAAACAGCCCGATTATAAATTGGCTTTTAAAGATGTATTTTGTGTTATAAACGCGAATAAAATTCAAAAAAGTTTTTGAAAGCTTTACACAGAATTTAAAGTTTTTCATGAATAAATTTATAATATTTTTTTTTGTATTATAAGAAAAAATAAATGTATGTGTACAGCTTTCTCAATATTTTAAAATTCTATTCACTATTCTTCATAATATATCAAAAAAACTTGAAACATTTTCAGAGCGAACTCAAAGAATATATAGAAATGTATATATAAATCGTGATGGGTATTGTGATTTTCACCGGGTGAAAAATCAAATTTCGAAGCTCTGATATTGTCGATAGAACTATTGTCACACCTGCCACTATTCTGTGACAAAAAGAGTGTCGCGAGTCGAAAGTTATGAGAAGTTATTATTGACCGAGTCCCTTGTCTTCGCCTTGAGCTACGTCACTTTAAGCAATTTGCGATGATGTCTCCAAGAAAATTAAGCTCAAGTAAGAAATTTTCACAGTAATTTGTGGCCCCTTACCTCCACCGGTTGTCCTGGCACTGATGACATCACTAGGCTCCCCTCTTCCAGCGTTATTGAAAGCTGTCAGAGTGAATTGGTAGCTTGTACCACATCGAAGATTAGTTACTGTGTGTCGAGTTTTCTTTTGAGAAATGTGGGTTTCTTCCAAATCTCCTAAATCGTTTCTGTGATGAAGAATATAGCCTGAAATGTAGAAAAGTTTTGATATATCATACGAAATAATGGAACATTTACAAAAATAACATTTCTATATTCCAATTTATAAAATGATGGACATTTAAGATTGCTTGGAAAAATTCTACGTGACCAAGAAAATAAACTATTGAAAAGTTTTGTGAATAAGAAAAGAAAAAAAAAAGTTACAAAAATACATTTACATTATTTTCTTTCATGTACAATATATTTTGTTACGATTTTAATCTACTTCAACAAAAACATTTTAATCTATCAACAATATAACGTTATGTCTTTGGTTAAAACATAAAAAAGATACAGATAAAAAATACACATACCCTGTAAAAAATAATATACAATTGTTGTTTTTGTATGTAGGAATAAATTATTTCCAGTTATTGTACTTTATTGTATTTATGTGTGCAGCAAGTATAATTATTAAATATTGTTTGCACGTTACTCTTTCATTTGCAGTATCGCAACCACATTCTCTTCTCATGTTTAACCGTCATTTAAAATACATTATGACCAATGTAAATAGAACAGCTTCTTTACAAACTTAGCAATATACATAAAATTAATTTCATAAAATTATTTATTTAAAATTATTTAAAATTTAAGTATTAAGAAATCATAAAGAATTGAAAAGAATATTCACATAAAATGGTATAAATGGATAAAAAACTCAAGCAGTTTTATCTTAATTACAGTTCTAACTTTCCCTAACACATAAATAGTACATTAAACTTCAGAGAGATGGCACTAGCCTGCAGCAGAAACCATTTTATTGATTGACCTGTTACACTATGATCAGTGTAACAGGTCAATCAATAAAGATTTTTCATATATATATAAATAACTTCAAATAGAAAAATGGAATGAAAGATATATATATGGTAAAAGATATTTTTATTTAAAAATTTCAATCGAAAATTTTTCAAGGAAAAAATTAATTTTTCACATTATTGTTTTACTTAAAATATAAAAGCATATATACTTAAGTAATCATTAGAATGCATGAATCTATGTTAATTTACTAGCAAGAGAATAATCGAATATTGAAGTATACTTGTTGAGCAGATTTACAAAATAAATCTACATTAGTAAAGAATAAAATGAAGTAATGGAAGTGATCGAATCTGTTTTATCGATTAAGCAGAGATCAAAGGTTTTAAAAGCATTTTCCTCTCCTCGAAACACTTTACTGTTTTATATAAGAAAAGCTTACAACTAAAACGCATATTAGCTGTCCTTTTTGTCAAACAAGCAAGGTGAAAAGAGCATGTTTAGATTTTATTTTTCGACAGAAGTTTTAAAGTAACAGAAAAAAAAGCCACACGTATTTGAAATTTGTTCGTTTTTCTACGATATACAAAAGTAACGTGAACAATGCGACCAACAATCCGAAAAGGTTTTGTGAGTGAGAATACTTGCTTTGTGAATATTTTCACGATTGAAAGTACAACTTATCACTATAAAATTGGCTTCGGGCAACCTCATTATATGAACACGAAACTACCTAACACGAAATGTGTTTCCTGTTACACGAAACTGACAGATTCGCACTTAAAGTGCGTGCTAATGCTTTGAACTTCATTCTAGATGCCTTAGGCTGATTAAAACAAGCATCGTCGATTACAAGGCCCATTACCAGTTTTCGGGTTGTTTCGCAATTCCTAAACAGTGCGAGAATTGTCGTATCAATTGATGAACTCTATTTAAATTTATATTCTAAATAATTTCATCAAATGTGACTTTTATATAGGATAATATTGATAACAAATATGGGAATATATACAAAATCTAAGAGCTTATTAAAATTTTTAATCATCTTAAAAATTAAACACAAACAGTAGAAAATTATTATAATTTGTATATACTATTTANTCCTATCTGTTCTAACTTAAATAATCTTGATAATGTCATAAATAAGAAAACGAAGAGAGATAATGGTAAAAAGCTTTTCCATTTTCTGATATTACTTATTCTTATCTGCAACCACAACTTTTAACTTAACAAAATATAAAAACTAACTCACTCTGTAAACAAGCCCAATTTTATTTTATTATTAAATTACTATTTCCTGTATTAAAGCCATTTTAAAATGATATCATATTAAAAAAGCCAGCAATAATAAAATTATGTTTACATAAAATTCGTTCTATTATACATGTAATCGAGTCTTATATAAAATTCCATTAAATTTAAAGCTATTATATAAATAAAAACATTTTTATTAGTAAAAAAATAACCGTAAATACAATTAAACAAACAAAATAGAAGAACTTGATTAAATAACTTTTCAAAAATACAGTATTATTATATTCTTAAAATTAGGTTTTACCTGTTACAGGGCTATACTTTTCGATATCTTCGTCCCATTGTAGTTCTAAAGATGATGAAGTTCTTGAAACGACCTTTAAAGTTGGAGATTTCGGTGGATCTGTTAATTAAATATAACACATAACCAAGTGAATAACTTAATAAAATTTTAAAATTTTCATAACTAATTTTAATTATGATAGAAATTTAAACTTTCTATTCAGTGCTGGAAGACAAGAATTAATTAGTGAAATCTACATTGGTATATATCTATATAAATTCATTTTAACAAGCTATACTAATTGAACAATCAAAAATTGGAGAATAAATAGATTTAAAGATTAATTTATGTAAATTCACGATAAACATTTGTTAATTTATTCATCTTTTATAACTTTCTAGTCTTTTATTCAAGTAGGTAGTGTCCTCTTATATCGTATTTAACATTTTATTAAAGAAAATCTAAGTAAAGTACATAGAAAGAGTATTTCTCGCCTCTTTTAATTTAGAACATGTTAACAAATCGGTCTCTTGTTAACAACAACTTCAAACAGCGAATGAACAAAGATGAATGATCCAGTTTTACCCTGCTAAAGAATATATGAAAATTAACGAAAAATAATTTTAATCATTTGCGACAGTACAGTTGCGACTTCTTAACAATTTAGAACCTAAAAACAATTTAATTATTTATCTATTTTCTTCTGAAAAAAAAAATCTCAAAATAGAAAATAAAATATAAAAATATTTTTTTCAGCATTAATGAAATAAACTGGAGGGAAAAAGAAACTAAAAAAAGTCGATCGCGTAATTAAAGAGTAAGCCACTACCAAAGAAGTAATGTCACCTAGTTTCTAAATGTCACTTGAAATTTAATAACTAGAATTTTTTACGTTGGTAAATTTATAAATGTGTAAATAAATTGCTAAAGCAATGCAGTATCAAGCGTTATCTGGAGGAAAACCTTGTCGATTCGCAAAATAATTATTTTCAAGCTTTTTTTTTCTTATTTCTAGAAACCAAAGTAAGGAAAAATAATGAAAGAAAGCGAGAATCATCATCTAAAAGAATAATTATACTGATTTTATATTTATTTATTTACAATATTTCTATTTAAATATTCAATGATTTTTTTTTAAACCTGTAATTTCTTAGTGTTTGTTAGCAAAATAATAATCAATGGAATTCGAAGACAAAGCTATAGTAAACAAAATTTAATAAATAAATAGAAAATTTGATAAATTATAGCAATTACTGTATCATTATTTACGCTGAGATTTATGTAACCATGAATATTATAAAACAGAAAAGTTTGTCAGTTATGACCTTTGACATATTACACAAATTTATTGTTTTAATAGTATTTCATTAATATGACTTTTAAATAAATTATAACATTTATTATATTAGTATTTTATTAAATTTATTAAATTTCTTTTTGCATACTTTCACAACAATTTCATCAAATATTTTTGCTAAATGAACTGAAGACATGAATAATTAAGATTTATCGTAATTACTTTTTAATATAATTTTATTTTAATGTTAATTTTATGTTGAAAAATAATTAAAATACTTAGTAAATTTTAAATTTAATTAACTCTATTTTAACAGAAGTATTATCTTATTTTTAATTAAATACTTTGAAAAATAATATTACATGAAGCTTGATGATCGAATATTTGTTTGACATTCTCTGCCATCTGTTGAGACATATGAGAAACATTTTGATTTACAAATGCATACTACATCTTTAATTTCTCTTACTTTTATCAGCTGGGGAATTACTTCAATGACTTTTAAGAATAATTAACAATAATATAAATTTAACGGAATCTAATTATTAAATAAAGATACGATATCATTGATTTTCCAAACGAAATCTTCGTTAAATTAATAGTAACCAAATTAGAATTTATTTCCTTATACGGCAAATAAATTATTTTATTTATTTAATATAAAATCTTAGAGAGGTTACTAAACTAAGTAAATCTAATTCTCATTAGAATTGACTTAATTAATTTTTAGATAACTTTTACTTTAATTTATTTAAAGTTACGATTGTTTCAATTTCTTTATGTTTCTATTAAGTTCATTTGTAAGAATCTAGGTTATTCCCCTTAGGAAATTTTAAATTTTCTTCTATTTTTCCAATGAGTTTCTTCTCTGTTTTGAAATATTATTCATATTTAAGAGAAAAAATTTATATTACAAAAGCACCAAACATTTGTATGTTCTTTAATTTAAAATATAAAAAATGATAATTTATAACAACCTAAAGATATTTATACAGATATCTTTTTTAGTTTATTAAAAATTTTGATAGTTTTTTTCTATTTCTGTTATTATTTTTTTCTTTTGAAATATTATAGGTAACTGCATTGTAACGATATAATTTAATTAATTTTTCAAGCTTAGACACGACTACTGATGCAGATAAAAGAATATGTCTAATTATATTTAATATTTTAAAAATATTTTCATTCAAAAAATTAATAATTAATAGTGTACAAATATTTAACGTTAAGTAATTACTATTGATATTATTACAAATACTACAGTATTAGCCGTAGAATTTAATAAATATTCTATTAGTAAAATTATGAATTAATTTTAAAATTATAATAAACGTTCATATTTTATTCATTAAATGAAAGAACTTGTGAAATAAAAATTTTAATATTTTCTAAACTCGGAAATACCTTATATATATATATTTCGATATTGATATTTGATTATTCCTTAGTAAATATATTCTCAAAGAAAAAATTACAACTTCACATAACAAATATAGAAAATAAATAAAAAATGAAGACACTATTCTGACATGTAAATACAAACAGAACAAATATTGATATTCAATTTTTGATAATAAGAATCCTCATTCAAATACTATTATGTTTTTGTTATACTTTGTCCAGCAAATATTTCTATAGAGTTCTTGTAAAAGATAAGTTTTTTTTATATAATGTAAAACAAAGAAAACTTCTGTATTATGATACATGCTATCCCTCCATTGAACTTAATATAGTTTTAGGTATTATTCTTATTGCATGTTGTTATAAATCATGTAAAAATATTAGATCACAAACAATATATCCGTTAGAAATATATAAATTCTAAAAATAAATTTTCTAATTTTGAATTAAAAAATATAGTAACATAAAAATAATTTAATACCGTAATTATGATTTTCTATTCATTGACATTTATTCAAAAATTTCATACTTTTCAAAAATATTTTACACGTTTTTAAATTCTTTTCTAATCGTTTATGTCACAATGCATCTATTATGCGAATTTCTTGCACCTTTTTATAAAATTAAAAGTCATTAATTAGAAATTAAATAATTTTAAAGTTAATTGTTGATTTTAGTTACTAAAACTATGATAAAATCTGTTATATTCATTGTTCTCTTATTAAACTATAATCCGATTATCATTATTTTTTTTAAATCTATTCAATTAGTGTCAGCGATTTATCTTATTTAAATTTTCTTTATTGTTACATTGAATAATTTCATTATTATTTAATATATATAATTTTAACTAAGAAAGATTATCAATTATTAGTAACATGAATTAGCTTCTAAATAACGTTATATTCTTTTTACAGATTTTAGTGCAAATTTTCTTACATGGACTATGTGGACTACACAAATAGGCCTACCTATAAAGACATTTTTAATAAAATTTCTGGTAAATCACTATTAAATTGATTTGACTTTATCAAAATTAATGTTAAAAATTTATTCTTTTATAAATGTATTTTTTTTTTTTGTTTCAATTTATTGTCCTGAAATTTAGTATATGCCATTTTATTTAAATAAATTTTAATTTTTAATTAAATTCTCCAACAACAATTTTCTATCATTCTTGATTATAAATAATTGCATCCTTTATCGTAAATAATAAAAATATATAAATATATATTAATTATTAATAAATTTTTATTCATATTATGTGTTGTACAGTGTGTCCCAAAATATAGATAATTGATTTATTTTCGTTTTATTATTTTTAATTTAAATATTTCTTAACAATGCAAGAGGTTATTATTGTTTATTTTATAGCACGATAGAATGTTATATAATTGTTTTTACAATATTTGACAGTTACATAAAGTGTTAAACACAAAATACGTATTTTGTGTGTGTCCCAAAATATAGATAATTGATTTATTTTCGTTTTATTATTTTTAATTTAAATATTTCTTAACAATGCAAGAGGTTATTATTGTTTATTTTATAGCACGATAGAATGTTATATAATTGTTTTTACAATATTTGACAGTTACATAAAGTGTTAAACACAAAATACGTATTTTGTGATTTCCCAAAAATATAAAAAATAAAATAGAGCAATAGTTTCATAACATAAATCAATGAAAATCGTTTTAATATTAAATGGAACTGTCATTATGCTTAATGGCTTCAAAATGCAGTTAGACATTGATTTAGTGAAATTTTGTAAGATTTCTGGATCCATTTAGAACAACACTCAATGATTTCTTATTTAAGCTCTGAAACCGTCGTAAAATGCGTTATTAGCATAAATTTTTCGTGCAAGAATGCCCCACAAGTCCTCAATAGAATTAATGTCCGTGCTTCTTGCCGGCCACTTCACAACTTGAATATTAAGATCTTCGAGCCACTTAGTTGTTGAGCGTGAACAATGAATACTGGCATTGCCCTGTTGGAAAATCTAATCAGATCCTATAATTTCTTCTCCAATAGGATCTGATTAGATTTTCCAACAGGACTTCTTGATAACTTTTAGATGTCTATCTATCGGTTAAAATGACTAAATTTGATAAGCCATTAAATCCAAAGCAGCCCCATGTCATAAGAGAACCATCACCCTGTTGCCTGCTGAAAAACTGCATTCTCCTTTCCTAATATCATCCCACTAATCAAGCCATACAAATTAAATTTCTTTTTATTATTGAAAAGGACTGAGAGCCAGTGGTCATTAAACAGCATGTGATCTTTAGCCCACTGCATTCTTGCCAATTGGTGTCGTTTTGTTAGTGATGGTTTTTTCATCATGGCATCAAATTTCTATGTGGAGCTGCTGAAATTCTTCGATGATCAGTGTTTTTTTTAAATATTTTTAATCCAC